GTTTATTCCTTGCTATAAATTTCTGTTTGAAGGGTTTATGAAAAATAATAACTAATTGAAGTTTGTATTGAAAAGTAAGTAACATAATAAATTTAATTTCTTTGGTAACTTCAAAATTCTAAACAATATACTAGTGTATAACGTAATCGATCTTTCCTAGAGTATTAATTTAATTTTGTCAAGCAATGAGAATGAAGACTTTGCATAAATAATTAGTATAAAAAAAAGAATTACAGGAATGAAACGAAACTCGACATATAAATCTGTGTTCATTGCTGGTAGAAGTTAAGAAAGATCAATAAATGCCATTCTCTTATCTTCAGGAACAAAGAACTCTGTACAAATGCTTTTATTGTACTCCCTTGAAAATCTGCGCTTATGGAGCGAAGGAAAAAAATGAGTTAAGACATGTTAGCAGCTTCAAGTAGAAAGGACTGGAAGCCACGTTTTAATAAACTAACTCTGACACATTTTTGTTGAAAGTGGAAGGTTCAAAGATGTCTCATTCCCTAGAAAAAGAAGGTTTCCTCCCTTTCTTATGCTAAACTTTGAGGAAAAAAGAGCTGAAAAGCCTGTCGAGTGATCAACAGTGATTAGCAATCGAAAATTAAGGTCGTCTTCCCTAATGCAAGATACACGACCTTTAAGCCCAGTGTATATTCAAAGCAATCTGACAAAGAACCTTCTTAACTCCTCAACAATTTATGTCTAATATTAGATCCTTAAGGATTTAATTATGCATTTTATAAGCAGAAGAGAAAACACACAGAGAAGTATAGAGAATCTCTGCAGTTTTCCAAGTGATGGGACGAGAAAATGGGATGACAGAAAGCCTATTTGATTAATTTTAATGGAAGACTAGCATTTCGTACAGAAAGGAAGAAAAATTTGAGAGCTTTCATTAATAACAAAAGAGGACAACCTCTGTCAGTGACAAAAGCTTTTAAATAATTGAGTTTCTGATTAGAGCAGAATCTGAAGAGCAGATATCAAATGCCTGCAATTTAAGCGTAAAGCGGAGTGACAACATTTGGCATGAGAAAGAAACAAATAGAAAAAATGCTCCGATGAACTTTAGTATTGAAATTAAATTTATTGCTTGCGGATGAAATGTCAAGAAAAGGAGAGCAATTTTGAAATTCTATTTCGGGAATGAATTGAATGACAGAATCAATAGAACTGATGAGTGACAAGTGATTTTTAAATACTACATCCTGCTAGTCGGAAAAGGAGGTTATCTTCAAAGGCGAATAAAATTATTTCATGAATTGTTTGTTAAAATCCAATTATTTTAATCCATTTTTCATAATTTGCTGATAGATGTTTTTGGATAGTAATTAACTATCGTTCACTTTCACTGTACATTTTATTTTCAGTTATGTCTTTTCGAATAAAAACGAAATATCCAAGCAGTAAAGAGTCAAACTTACACTGGTAATCGCACTATTTTCATGAAAGATTTTGCACTCTTCCATCGTATTTTGTTCTTCATAAGGAGCTGTATGTTTCGCAGTTTTAAATAAAATTATGTTTTTGTCAATAAATTCAAAAGTTGATAAGAAATGTATATATCGAAGTTGAGGAATTCATTATGGAACTAATTTAACGAAAATACTTTAGAAATCAACAGTAGCTATAATGTAAATAAAATTTTGCTTTTTATACTATATGGAGTAGCTATGATTAAAAATATCTAGAAAATTTATCCTTTCTGAAATAGTAGTGAAATGCAGCGATTTGAGAAACGCAATGAATGATCACAAAAAAGAATTTCTGGAAAAATACTTTCTAGAAGATGTAACACCCCCTTTCTAAGAAATATGAAATTATTTACTAAAATACTGACAAACCCGGAAAAATTGCTAATAGTTTAGTCATTTGATTAGGCATTCATAGAAATAATACTGAAATTTTTATGAACATAGATACTGTAAAGCAAATGCATTTTATGCCAGCCCACCAGCGGCCGAGCGGTAAAGTCGCTGAACACTGGTAGTTCGGTCCGAGGTTCGAATCCCGCGAACGGGCTGGCTGCATGGGCGTTTTCGTGGTTTTCCCCATGTGTAACGTGTATACTGGTCAGTTTTCCTTAGAAAGTCCTCCACGAAGGCATCCCTCATCTTAGGCAGATAGCCCTCGAGGCTTTGCCATAATCACACACATTTCATGCCAACGACAGTGTTTATACTTTTTTCCCTCAGAGTGTACAGAAGCAAACTAGATCATTTGCTCGTTCATTACTATGGAGATAATTATCTAGCAATGCCTTTTTTTTTCAGGTAATTTTGTACATTTTGTTAAATTTATATTTCATCAAACTTTAGGTCTTTTATAAAAAAACATTTGACTATAATAAGTATCACTTTCCTACACAATGGTTGTTTACCCCTTCACTGAATTTGCTTCTGTCAAACTATTTACTTTAAAATCAGTGCTATAATCGAAGAAGCTGATGACTAGTGATCACTTCTCCATTAGTCACCTCGTGATAAGATAGATGAACTGTCGTAGTTTACAAGATACAGGCTCAAATGCAGGCGAATGAAAATACTACATGGACCTTAAAAAGCATAGTGCTCCGATGAAGTCTGGTCCAAGGTGCGTGTTTTCTGCAGCATGCTAAACGCTTTGTTTTGTGTGCTGCAGCAAGCGGGACTTAAACAGCATATCTTCTTCCATACAGCCCTATCTCATGAAGATTTCAGGAACAGTAGACGTCGAAATTCGAGACCACTGGGAGTTTACAGCTCACGTAAGAGCTGTGAAGCTGGAGTGTCCAATAATGATCCTCATTCGTACTTTTGGATCTTGGTCAACCTTGTCCAGGTATTCACGATATGAGTCTAGTATTCTTAACCTGCTTCCACAAATTGCAGACGACACTAGGTGTTACATTGAGCTGTGTCGCCACCTACTTCTGAATGGCCTGCCTCCAGTCTGCTGACAAATCTCCGTCTCATTCCGTCATGCATACGTTGGTGGCTATTCATTTTACCTGATACCTCACAATATTTACCCAAACCTTGTGAGAAACACGTCAAATGTTGTGAAGGAGTCATTGGCAAATGTTTAACCCGGCAAATGTTGTGATCACACAATTCGCCAAGAACATCTCCTGCGATCATATAACTTCCGCATTCAAAGCTCCGCAGACACGTACGTGTAAGCTTACATATTCGACTCTGAATATTTGCATAATTCTTCTGAGGCATAATTGGTGCCTCTGGTTAAATACTTTCCATAAAAATTGCAAATTCTCTTAATTTTGCATACGAGTGTATTACGCTTGTTGGAACAGCTGTTATCTATGACTAATATTACAAAATAGACGAAATCTCAGCTTTTAAGAAGGAAACAGCTGTTCGACGCCTAAAAGAAAATCTTTCTTCAGCAGCCTAGACTAAGTCAAACTGAGGAAAAAAAACTACAGTACAGAGTGTCCTTGCTTCATTCTCTGTTTGTGCTGCAAGGTGATGAGTTATGACACTCTACGTACCGTAGATGTAATTTATTCAACGGTTATTCGTTACCTTCTCGCGCCAGAAGTGCATTAGGCGATTTCTTCATTTCCATTTTCTTTTTTGTCATATTATAGGATGTAACTCATTAAATTCTCAGAGATTAGAGCTAATTTCTGCCCAGTTATGAAGATAATGAGCATCGAAACTTAACAGACTTATTAGGATTATAAAAAATGGAATAAAAAATATATATTTCAAACTTTCGAAATTAAAAACAAATATTTTGTTAAGAACTGTGTTCTCTAAGCGTGTGTTGGGAAAAAATAATGCATTAAATTTTTGATATGCTGATTTGCAATAGCATTTATTATAAATAAATGATAAATTACCCTGAAAGGTATGATCAAAACATCAGGATTTTAAACGTTTTGACGCGCAAAACGTATAGCAATACTTTTTATTTCATATTTACTTTCTAATAATATTGATTTGCAAACCCTTCGCAAAAGCGAGTCAAAAATTTACATTTTCTGGAACTTAAAAAGAAGTTTCCCTGTTTTGCATCATACTGCCCAAATGAACCAATCCTACCTTCTTGCTTCTATGTACTAGAAGGGAATACATTGATCGCTAGAAGGGAAAAGAGGGAGAAACCTGTTGTTTCAACTGTTCGCCCGAACGGACAACTACATTTGATTACAAAGAAAAATGATGAACAGCAATAAAATGGTGTGTCTGCTATTTTGTGCGATTGTCTTCGGTAACAGTTTCATTTGCGATGCAAGTCCAGTCCGTAAGTTTAATTTTAGAATAACCTTTTTCTTTTGTTGTCATGTTGCCAATCTCCACGCCCCCTCGGAAAAATACACTTTTCTTGTTCGATTTTCCGAAAGATGCATGCGAGTACGTTTATCATTAAAAGATGGTTTTCATCAAAAGCAGTCTTAGAAAAGAGTATGTTTATAAAGTATACGAATCAAAATAGCATGTGCCATTTTGTCTAAAGCCATTCAAATACTTTTACGCTGAAAAGTACTAGACCTTATATTTTATTAATTCTTTAAGCTACAAATTAATGGTATATATATTTTGCAAGAATTTGAAACTGAAATAAACGTTTTAAATTATTCAGTATTTAATTTTTCTTTCTTTTGATCAGATTTTCTTGTTTTCCATTCTCAGTTTCTGTTTCATGTCAAATTTCTTATAATTTAAACACATATTTCCTTTCTTAATTGCTTAGAAAGTGTTTTGTTTAATATTTTCTAAGATTAAATGCAAATTTATTTTTTAATTGCATATGCATTTTATTTATAAAATATATTATTTATAATAAAACTTTTCCTTTACTTTTTCAGCTCTTACCTCCACTCTTCTCATTTTTCTCTTTAAAAGTTTATGATTTTTTTAGTTAGTTTAAGCACTAAATTTTTATAAAGTACTATTGTACTGCACTGTACTGCATATGCAGTGTTGCACTAATTTGTACTGCATATGCTATAGTATGTTTATTAACAAAAATTACTTATTCATTTTTAGCTTCTCCAATAGAATACAATTGTACTGAATACAGATGCCAAGAATTCTTTTATCCTTGCTCTAATTGGATAGAAGATCTGCTGTGTCCAGAGGGTTCCAAATGCTGCAAGGATTTCTGATAGATATTTCGTCTCAGCATTCTTATTCCTCTCTATGTGAGACAGAAATCTTCAGTAAGTAGATTATATATTGTCCTGGATAAAGGGAAAGATATGTGTCATGCGCTTCGCAAGAAATATTTCTTCCTCTTTCTTTACCATATCCCATTGACTTTTATTACTTTTCCTTTCGTGTTTATATTAGTTAAGAAATACTAACTAAAGATGATGGATGTATCACAATTTGTATAAATTTACTGAATTAACGTCTGGAAAGTGGTTAAGAGTTATTCGTTTAAAGTCTTCGTATTTCAAAGTGAAAAGCTTCTGTTTAAGTATTCTTTAAAGTGAAAAATGGGAACAGGCTCTTAGAAAAGACACTCTAAGTGAAAAGTGAATGAGTTGTAAAATACCAGAAAGAAAAATAACGTTTTACTAATGAAATATATTATTTTATCAATATTTGTTATTAATTTTTTGTTGCTACTTTTAGGTTTCTTTGAATGTTGGAAACTTCCCATGCCAGTGAAATATAACTATCAAAATTCTAAATTTAACTCTCTTTCTTCTCTCTAAAACATATTTAATCTTGGTAAGGTAAGACCCTTTATAAAACAAAGGATGCGTGCATGAAATGGGCTGGATTTCCTTTTGGAGTCTTTTTTTTTATGATTCAGCTTGTTATTACTGCTAAGAAATTCGCCAGTAAAATGTTTTATGTATTCAACGTCTTCATTCCAGTGTTTTACTTAAAATATTTTTTATAACGACTTTAGTTGAGAATATATGGCAGCCCGCAAAAAGGCCATAGGGCGACGTAAAGTCTGTCAGAAGGGTCAGGCTGCGTCCCTCGTATCATATACATTTTCTCAACTAAGTATATGTATGTACGTAAATATGCAATACGTAAATACATATGCATATTAAACATGAAATAAATCAAAAGTAACTATAGATCATACTCAAGTTTCACTAAAAGCTACAATGGAACCTAGGAATATGTCGTAAATCAAAATTGCAAAAAATAAATTATGAATAAATAAAGGTTTAAACTTGCAAAAATTTAAAAAAGGCCTAATATATATGTTACGGTGAAAGACCGAAATCTGGAGAATGTCGACTTTCACCGATGATGTCAACATTCACGTAGTCGCTTGGTGTATGTCCGAAATATTTTCCAAATACTCTTATTTCTGACTTACACCGGTAAATGTCGACATTCACCGTGTACTAATGGTGAATGTTGAACATATAAGAATATTATATTTCCTTCTCCGAAATTCATTCGGGAAAAAAACGCACTTGAGACTCAGAATAAGAATATAAGAACTTAAAACACACAGTACATTCAAAATGAGAAAAGAAAATAATAGAAGTTATAAACTTACCAAATTATGTGATTCAAATCTTATTTATTGCAACAACTTAAACTATTATGACACTTTCAATTGCACAAGAGACCCTTGCTTTTACAACTGCATTTATTTGTGGAACACTTCCTTTTGGAATGGCAGCGTGTACATACACTCCTCTCTTTTTGACCTACACCAGAGCATGTCTGTGATTGTCGACATACACCGGTGAGGGTCCGAATGTACAAGAATGTAAAGGAAATATTCGATCTTTCATCGACGTATTTGGTGAATGTTGACATTCTCCGGTGCAAGTCGACATTCTCCAGTTTCGGTCTTTCACGGTAACATATATATATAACAATTTTTCAGATGATGATAAAAAAATTTTAGTGAGAGTTCGCTGCGTATGAAAGCCTGCAAATGAGAGAGCGGAAAGTCGGGAATATGGTATTAAAAGTAGGATTACAACCTCCTTTTCATTTAGACTTAAAATGTGGGGCCGAACTAAGAAGCCATGTTTCTAATGACTGAAAGTATTATAGTGTTGTTCATTAAAGACGGAAATAACTACTTCAGAATGATTTTAAATCATGTAATATAAGTACTTCTCATTATGTTGTGTAAATTTGTATTACTGTAGCTTATTTTTGGAACAATTATTTCATAACGCCTAGAGTTTCAGCTGTGGTTTCTTTTTTAAATTTCTAAAAGGATTTTAATTATTCTGTTAATTCCATTCGCAAATGTAAACATTATTAAGCTTATTTATTAGCAGTCACTATTAGCCAAAATCACTATATTTATTAAATTTTTGGTTTTATTTGATATATTTTGTTTATTTTGAACGGGTTAAAAATATTTAAAGTTCACGTTGTTTTATAACTATTTCTATCTTTTTATAACCTTTTTTTAGCCGATTTTCTATTAAAATGAACTAAAATTTGGTTGCAAATTTTAAGTGTGCTTTAAATGAGGGTAAAATGCTCATTATGAGCAGCATATTTCCCATACTATAGGAAACATGACAAATTAAGCGAAATGTCGATTTTGCATTTTAGTTTCTCCGACTCTCGCAGTGTAGCTTATTGAAATCAAACGTTTCCGCTTCACTAACAGATGCGTTAACATTTTTTAATCTTGTTTGATGTGAGTTGATTATGAATTTCTAAAATTGATAAAAAATGCTGTAGGAAGTGATGCAAGACTTCAAACTAAATAAAAAGAAGGAAATTGACAAATATGTTTAGAGTGTGCACCTTACAATCATTCCTAAATCTGCAGTTCATAGCACTCAGATATTAATCAATAGAGCAAAGATGTATAACCTGTTTTGAAGCTTCAGAGTTCTTACACTCTTCTTTCGTAATCAGAGGGACCATCTGTATGAGTAAAAGGGTACTTGAATCAAGATTTTGAAACTCATCGCTGTTTATTTAAATAAGCAATTGTAATTGTTAAAACTATGTCATATTTTAATTAAATATGTAGCGGGCATTATAGGTTATGTTAGGCAAATTTTCTCCATCAGGAGAAAAATAAAATTATAATTCTGCATTTCCCTTTCGCAAATGAGAAATGTTCCCCGAACATGTCAGAATTACCAAGGGAGAAAATTTCGTACTTAGCGAAAGAATTCACTGCTCTCTTATTCTTTTCTGAAACAGCAGTTTGTTGTTGATACTCTAGTGCATTTATTATGGTATACACACTACGGGTACTATTCTGCATGTTCGTCATCTTCTCTGTTTCAGGTAAACAAAATTATTAATTTAGCTGCTTCTTAAATATTTTTGGAAAGTTTAAATCTCAGTAATGTTCTTTGGGCTATTATAATACTAAGAATATTAAAACGTTTGCTTTCTGATTCGAAATGATGGTGTCTGTGCGTATGCTGACTGAAAATGTTTCAAAAAAGGGCCAATAAAATACTGATGCATATATGTTCCTTAAAAGATTCTTGATTTCTAACTTATTTTGATGTTTTTAAATAATTAAAAAAATGTGTAATACTATATCATTTAGAATGCAAATTTAGTAAAAGAGAAACTGTTTAATTTATATCATTTACTGTTTAATTTGTTCATTTATAATTCTCTTACACACTTTGTTTTCTATAATGAATATGTGAAGAAGATTTATGAAACGCTGTTTATATATATAGCTGTCTAACTGGGTTTCTCTCACTTAACATATGTATGTTTAAGGAACTGAGCCGTTAATTCTCGTCATTAATGTCTCTTTAGGCATGATTCATTTTTAGTAATAAAAGGGGAAAAGCACAAAATGGCGACGAAGTACATGGTTCATTTTCATGAGCTTAAATAGTTAAAAATTTAAAAACGTGATTGTACACCTCTCTAAATGTAGTTTTAATAAACAAAACAATAATTTAACAAAAAAAAAACTCCCATGTCATGTAAATTATGAAGGCATTTCAGAAAGAAGTAAATTAAGAATTCGTTTATATACAGAATTCGTTTGCATTTAAAAATAATTTTAAATTACTTCGTCGCCATTTTGTGCTTTTCCCCTTTTATTACTAAAAATGAATCATGCCTAAAGAGACGTTAATGACGAGAATCTTTGTTGATTATTTGATTTAGAATGTATCTTTGCACTTCATAAGCATCGGAAACTATAGTATGGACATTAAAGATTCAAGAAAAATGAAAGCTATTATGAAATTTGAGTTGTTGTGTTACTCTGAAATAGATGCTTGCATTCTCTCTTAATCCTGGCTTATCTTTTGTTTGTGTACATGGGAACTGATTATTTAAAAATATTCAAAATACTAAATACTAAATATTTTTATTTACACTAACAAACATAAGTATAAATTTAGTCTAGTTTACTCCATATAGTTCACTAAAAATTTAACAGTTTTATTTTTCCAGAGATAATTTTAATCTGCATAAAGATTATTTTTCAAAAATTTGACATTTGTAGTTTAGTTTTAAAAAGTATTAATCATACAGCAATTTGGATATGACACTTTGCTCACTTTCAACATTTGTTTTTCAGTTATTCTCTTTTTATTATGTATAAATTTTACACATGTATATAAGATAATGAGCAAGTAAGATAAAAGTCCATTTAAAACAGCCCCTTAAAGGGGCTCATTCACCTTAAACCCCTTATGATCTTCGAATATGTGACTGTTACAAGAATTGGGATATTTTATTTATTTTAAAAGCAATTGCTTCCAACTTTTTACAGCTGACTACATAATATAGGTGCTTTGGAAACTAGTAACCAGAAAGTTTGTGTTGCCATAAATAGTTTTATAATTTAATCCGCTTTGTGATAAAATTTTCGTTATATTTTCACTTAGCGCGCATGTTATTTTAAAAACTTTCTAATGGTACGTACTTGAAATTGATGGAATTCTTTATATGGACACTATTTTTCTAACTGAACAAAAAATCTGATGAATATTTTAATATTAAAAAATTTTATGCTCGAAAACATTACAATTTTTTTAATAAAATACATTTTATAAACTCAATTCCAAATAAAATAAAAATTTAACATGAAATTCTTACAACTTTTGGTTTACAGTCGTTTCCAAATGTTATAAAAGCTATATATTAAATATGGAATTAAATTGTGCGCGCAAGGTGGAAACACGACGAAAAATTTTGTCACAAAACGTATTAAATTATAAAATATTTGTGGCAACACAAACTTTCTGATTAGTATTTCAGAAAGCAGCTATATTATCTAGTCAGCTGTAAAAAGTTGGAAGTAATTGCTTTTAAAATAAATAAGTTATCTCAATTCTTGCAACAGTCACATATTCGAAGATCGTATGTGTTTTAAGGTGTACGAGTCCCCTTAAGTTATCTTCTTAATTTGATTACTTCCCCTTTCTATCCTATAAACAGTAACTTGCTTATAATAAATCTTTCTGAACCTTGCCGTTTCAAAACTAATTCGTATCATATGATTCTTTTACGAAAGCTAATGACGCATGTAGTTACATAACCGCAAAAGTGAAACTAAAGTTTTCTCCTCGTATTAACGTATTCCGATGCTCTAGCCATTCGATTATTGGCAGTCGAAATAGTTTTTAGAAATCCAGTCATATACTTTTCTCCCTAACGTTAATAGAATATTGTTATTGTGACGATTGAAAGGAAATATAAGTTTTCGGTCGTATTGTAAAGACATTAGGAATTTTATAAGCAGTGGACTTGAAACATAGCAATGCCCTCGCCGGGATTCGAGCCATGGGACCTTTCGAAAATGCGCAGAACGTGCAGACCACTACACCACGCAGGCACGCTAAGAAGGCGGGAGAAATACATTATAATATAACATAGAATTATTGTACCCACCTGTATAGAATCACCTAGAAAGTTCTAGCTCAAAGCTAAAGAAGAAAAAATATTCGAAAAAAGAAGAAAAGAAGCTTATAATTTTATTTTTCCTTCTATTTAGGTTGTAATAGAGTTTCACAAGATAATATACGTTTGATTGCATGTGGAGTGAAATTTCAATTTAAATTCAACCAAAAGCGTTTAAGAATAATTTTAAATATACTTTTTTAAATACATTATTTTCGTAAATTAAATTAGGTTCTCGTTTAACTTATAACAGTTAATTTTTACACTGTTGCAATAACTAACAAGTAAAATTCACTACTAAAACTACTGTATTAAATTGAAAACTACAGTATTAAATTGAACTGCAGAGCAAATACTATAATATTCCTTACGCTAATAGCATGCTGCATAGGATTGTATTATATTATTTGATTATGGCAAAGCTACAGGTACAGGGCATTTGTTTTACACTGACAGTACTCAGAGCTTGATCTATCAGCTGAAATGCCACCAAATTTGGCACGGGGACTAATGACGACATGGAAAAAAAGATTCCATGAAAAAAAAGTTTTAAAAGTCGCCGATAAACGAAAATATAGCTCTGTTGTAATCTGCACAGCTGAGAATTAGACAAATGAATGGCAAAAAAGAAATTTCATTGCAACACCTCGTTAATGCAACAAATGAGCTGTTCCAAAAGTTTACAGAGGTGATACTTCATTGCACCATAGCATTTTATTTAGGGAAAGTATTTCTCGTCTTGGGAATAGACCTCTTTCAGTATGACCACTCTTCTCATGGACTAGACACTACAGCCTATGGCCAAACGTAACAGGTTGCCAGGACTGCTCAGCTCAGCATGGTTGTCCTTTAAAGTTCTCTTATCCGTTAAGGTCAAGACCCAACCAATATAGGCCTTGGACCCCATAGAAAAAAGTCGCATGTAGTTAGATCTGAGAAAGGAGGCTGCAGTGAAGGTTCGGGAAAAGCGACTTATACCCTTTTCTTCTGTAAAGTGCTGGCATAACGGCATCTGTGCCAATATACCAATGTGCGGTCGTGCTACATACTGCATCAAATTTACCTAATCCAGCCTTTGCTAAAGTTGTTGAATGAGAAAACCAGTTAGCATGATACCTTTATATACTAATGGTACAGGTCTGTGGCCCTGTTAGAGTAATGACCTGGTCCGATGATAAAACCTGCTGTGAAGCTACAAACAGTGAGTTTTGGTAAATTCAGTAGGTTTTTGAAATGCATGGGGCTGTTCGGATGTCCATATTCGAGAATAAGGAGTGTTAACAGTGCCTTTTAGGTGAAAATGGGCCTTATCTCCTCACAAAATTCTCCACGGCCAAGCATCGTTGACGTCTATCCTGGAAAGAAATGTCAGAGCAAATACCACCCATCGTTTTGGGCGTCTTCAAGTCCAGCAGTCGTGACATCATAAACTGTCCCGTCCGGCACCAGTATCCATTCTCTACCGAAGGATCCTGTTCCTTTAAATTTTGAATTACGTCTTTCAGTACATTGATTGATAGAGAGCCTTTATGCAAGTTGTTATGATTTCTAAACTCACGATAACCGACAGCTGCGTTTGATTGGTGAAGACAAAGCAAATTCACAATTAACGTGGACTGAGGTAAAGCGAGACGCATGCTGAACCCAGCTAACATTCGGAATTTTCTTCGGTATTATCCTCTTAACTTTAATTACTGTAGCTGTTGCCATTTCCTTATTTGGGCAGTTGCATTTTAAAATTTTACCTGAGCTTCATGCAAATTTTTAGCATCGTTGACTACAATAGCACCATATGTTTCCCATCGGCGACTTTAGAAACATTTTTTCACGGAGGTTTTTCTATTTCCAATGTCATCATTAGTTCCCCCTACCGAATCTACTGGCATTTCAGCTCGTAGATCAAGTTACAGATGACTCTGATCTGATCAGTTTAAAAACAAACACTCTATACTCACTAGGGCTACCTGCTTAGAGAAAGCGAAGCCTTCTAGAGGACTTCCTAAAGAAAATGGGGTCATGTTCTAGCGAAAAAACACGAAACTTCTCATGCAGTTAATCTGGATTTAACTTGGGTCGAACTACCAGTGGTACAAAGATTTACTAATGAAGCGGAATATCTTAAAACTTTGTTCCTATAGAAGGAGACCACTTTGACATTTTATGAAGGAAATATATTTCCGAAATAATTTTATTTTAAAACTATCTATTAAGTTGTAAAATATTTTGTAACATACAAACATAACGAAAATGAGATTGTAAATAACTTGTTTTACATTTTAACAGATATTGCATTTGCTCCTCTGACTGCTTGCATGGCTCCACGAATCTGCAGACCTGTCAATCGTTGCTGCTTCCCTCGAGACGGGGACTGTCCTGTTGGAAAAGTTTGCTGTCAAATGTGGAGGTTGAGCTAACAAAGCGATCAGCACATTTTCTTGTAGTTGGCTGAATTTCTCATTCAACTGATACTCAAAATGTTTTGTTGTTGGATATAAATGTAAAAATTTTAAATAAGCATTTATTGGAAATTTTATTTGTTTTCACAAAGTGCATTTCTTTCCTATGCGTGTTTTCCTATCTTCAATGTAAACTGTTCTAAACGTGATCATTGAAAATGCTTTTCTTAAAAGTATTTTGCTGCGTGCTTTTGATTGATTTATATTTTAACAGGATAACCGTTTTAAAATTGTAACAGACGATAAAAATTTATCGAAGTTGATTATTTACATGATATTGCTTCATCTGTTTTATGATAGACGATAAAAGTGTACGGCAATTTTATTTTTCATGAAATTTCGTGTGTTTCTTTTGTAATAACCGATAAAAATGTGTGCCAGGTCTATTTCATAAAGAGTTTCTTATGTTTTCAATATTTTTATTTGCTGAAAACAAATGTGGAGCTTAGAATAAAAAATCCAATTTATCACTGAAATTACTTCAATATCTTTGGTTGTTTTGTATTACTTCAGTTACGTGTGTATCCTAAATGTTGTCTTAAACGTGATAACTTATATTTTTGAAGACCTATTTTTCAAGTAAATTTGCTTAACGAAATAGCATTTATTTAAAAAACAATTAAATTAAATTGAAAACTGAAGGGACATGAATCGTATATAAGGTAAATTATGTTAAGTTCTCATTTTAACCAAAAATGATATAACACATGGATTATGAAACATCAAGAGGGCTGAAGATACGTTTATCGGCAACATGATGATGAGACATACGAAGCAGAAAAAAAAAAAAAAAACTCATATTGTCCATACTCGCATTTACATGCTAGTACATTTACTTTAAATGATTAGGCTTCACTCCTAGGAACAAAGTTTTATTTAAAATGTTAAGTTTTATTCAAAATTCAAGTAAACTCGCTTAACGAAATAGTATTTATTTAACATATGTAATAACTTGAAAGCTGAAGAGACATGAATCAATGCATACAGGTTCCTAATTTCAACCAAAAAAAATATATATGAAATATGAATTAGATGTGAATTAGGATAGCAACATCTGGAGAATTGAAGGTACGTTTATTGGCATCGTGAAAATGCAACATACGAAAGATCCAACATACGATAATAAATCCATGTTGTCCATACTCTCATTTAGTTGCGAATGTAATTTCTGTAAATGAGTTTACTTGAAGCGAGTCTTCCATTCTAGGAACAAAATTTTATTCAAAATTTAAATTAAATGAACGGAAAAACACTATTTTGTAACACTTAAAGATGATATTTTTCAATCAAACAGAATTTTTAGCAATAATTTACTTGTTTGCTGGGTTACAAAAATATTACAATATACTGAAACATTTCAATGTTATGAAGAATGACACCATTACAAGTTATCAGAATCAGAATATATCAGAATGTATCTCGAGTCTTTCAGTATCAGAATGTATCAATGGCAAGTACTGTATTAAATGAACTACAAGGCTTCTTCACTTTTTGGTCTTCAGTGGCACTGATTCTTTTAAGTTCAAGAACATAATAAAGATTTGTACATAAAGCATAAAAATACTTAACCTAGGCATAATACATAAAATATTCAAATGCCTGTTTAGAATCTGGAAATAAATTATTTGACAATTTTAATTCTAATGTCAATTATCTGAGGCAAAACATTTCGAGCTGTGGTTCATTTTTAAAGACTGTCATCAAAATGATTTATTTTTTAAAAGGAATTATTTATGATAGTGCTAATTTCTTTCTTTCCTTCAATACATAGCAGGAAATATAAGGCTGTACAATATTTGTGTTTCCATGCATGCTTTTGATTTAATCAAATTTAAATTCCCATTTTGAAACTTAGAAATCAATATATATAAAGTTAAAGTAGTTTAATTTACGTTAATGTTAAATATGTTTTATGTTAAATGTGTTAAAATATTTAAAGGATCATTAGGTTTACCTCACAAAATGAAGTAATCATAATGGAAGAATGAATACAGGTAAAAATATTTCAGCTTAGCATATATCTGCACTGATGTCCATTTGAAGTGAATTCTTTTTATTTTCAATATATCTGATGAATTCAGAACAAAAGTTTGCTGTCAAATGTGATAGTCAAATCGTTTCTAAATGTGATATATCTCTTTTTATAAACCTTTGAACAATATTCAAGTAATCTAAATGTAATCATTAAATACTTATACAAAATATATTTCTTTTGAACTAAACTACTTTTAAGCATTCATGGCAATTAACCTAACACTAAAGTTTCAGAAATATTTTATTCATTTTCATACACATATATGAAAGTGCCATTCAAATTGAACTGTGAATGCATCACTATCTAAATTACATAATAAATGTATATATATATATAAAACAATAACGTGATCTCGAGTCTTTCAGTAACAGAAAAATAATGAGAATTCAAGTCAGGAAATGGTATGGTATGGTATGGTATATTTAATTGTGACAAAGCACTCGAGAGCTATCAGCCTACAAGTCAAGAAATGGAGTCCAATGATAAACATAAACATTCATGTTAAAGCAATTTTAACATAAAGTAACTAAGAATCTGTGAAAGAAGAACCGCATTTTTTTAGAAAGGGACTGAATTTACCCACGTATAAATTAAAGTTGACTCCTTCATCTAAAAATATCAGTAAACAGTTTTAGTATAGCAGTAGCACTCATTTTTCATTAACTACGATAATGAAAAATGATTCAATTAGCTAAAATCTTTAGTAGTGTAGTGTAACGTTAATTCATTTTACTTATATAGTAATTCCTAGCCTAACATGGTTAATAAGTCATTCTAAAATGCTGTGTTAGGTAAAGTAGTTTTTAATCCGATATAAATATACTCACAAAATATTCTATTTCATCTAATTAGTTTTATATTATTTTTTTAACTGCTCATCTAAAATAAAAAGGAAACAAAACAATAAAATTTGTAAATAATTTTATTAATTTTTAATTTCTAAATTGTTTTAAAAACATTTTGAGAAGTTCATTCAGGATTATTTTCTTTTAACCGTAGATACTTCATCTTCATTGACTCTGTTTACTGCAGCATCAGACTTGTGGCGAACTCATGAGCTGCTTTCATGATTTGGACAGCTGATCCGTAAGTTGTTGGTGCGATTGTTCAATAGCCCAAAATATTATCTGAAATTGTTAATATTCGTTTTTGATGGCCGTAAAAAATCGTCCAAACTACTGTTGACGCCAGTGCTGCCAAAAATAATTGCGGCAACCCTGCCGCAAGAAAGGAAGTATAATAATAAATAACTATTTAAGATTGATGTTTTAATTTAGATGAAAGGTTAATTTCATATAATACTTTTTTATTATTATAATTTATATAAAAAAGGCTAAACATGTATTATAATTTATATAAAAATTGCTAAACATAACTGAATGGATGCCTGCATCGCTATTTCGCTACCGAGTTATCACTAAAGCATAGTTTCATCTCGTTGGTCGTTCAAATATAATTTTCTATAATGAATGATGCCTTTACTTTGAAAAAATTCTCGGTAAAGTGCAGAATCGCCACTTATTTGTTTGCCGCTTTTTACAAGGCTAAAAACAACTGGATTTTTGTTAATTTTCTTTTACTTTTTAAGTGAAAATAGGTCGATGTGTGTACATAGATAAAGGTTGTGCGCAGTGCCATTTTTGTGCAATTCTGGGATTTTTTGTAAGTGAAAATAGGTCAGTGTGTACATGGATACCGAATATGTGCAATTCTTAAAAACGGGTCAAGCAGTGGGTGATTCTGCACTTTACCCAAAATTCTATTGCAGACTTTTCGTTATGGGCAATTCTCAAATTGTTAAATCCATAGAATATCAAAAAGGATTTAAAGTCAAAAAAGATTTAAAAATTAAATTAGTATTTTAATGGCGTCATAAGAAATATACAACTATATAAACTTGCGCAATTTTGAAATCAACGCGTACGCTAGATTTGGCGCGCTGTTAAATGGGCGCGTTTGCTAGATTTGGCGAATTGTGCATACATTTTCGCTGCAGTTTTTTTACCGTCCTCAAAACGGAATAGTACCCTGAAATTTTATCAAATTCATTTCGCTTTAAGAAGCTTACTTCTTTGGTAAATTAATAATCGTGTTACTCTTGTTATTGATACATAAGGAAATGATCTCTCACCTCTTCAAAGTTTGAATCCAATAATCCCTACGCTCTTGCCATTACTTCGGTTAAACTTAATTTATGTTCAGTAATTTCAATTTCACCAAATACTGCGACAATTTTTTCTATAAACTATATAAAACCAGTTGCGCAAAGAGCTCCAAAAGCCTTTTCAAGGCGTTACGTAGTCCGTCTTAAAGGGAAGTTTCGCCAGTAAAATGTAGTTTATTTGTTTCAGTACAGAAAACTCGTTAAGGCTATATGCCTAAAAGAAGACAGGACTTCATGGCTGTCGCTGCTGAGCACGAATTGAGTGAACCTCACGAACTGAAATGAACTGAGGACTAAAATAAAACCAAAGAGACTTAGAACGAGGGGGAAGCAGCCATGGTTGCTGCTTACGTGTGTGAAATGAAGAGAAACAGCCATGATTGCTGCTTACGTGCTTTGTAATTAATATGCTTCTACGACTTAAGTTCTTACTTAAGTACTTAACTACTAATAACGTGTGTTGTGTTGTTAAATGAAGACTCCCATTTTTAGTCTGGATTAGCTCATTTTCGACTGGATTAGTTCCCATTTTTAGACTGGATTTTTTTAGAGTTCTGTCAAGCCGTCCATCACGAAGAAGACACAAGGGTAAGTTTACCTTTGACATATTTTATTGATCGTCTAAAAATGGCAGACCTTTTTAAGGGAAATTGGGTCATATTTAATCACGCACTTAAAAAAAGCCACGAAAACAGCCATGCAGCTAGCCTGCTTGCAGGGATTAGAACTCTGCTCAAACTACCAGTGTTCTGCACTTTCAACCGCTAGAATCTCTGGTGAAACCTCTCACTAAAGGGAAATAGGTTGCAATGAATAAACTATACTAAAGAGTTAAATGAAACTGTGCTAAGCGAGAGATGACCGTATTTCATTTAGAAGCACTTCAAATTCTTTTATACCACTTTGCATTATTTTAATGTTTTGAATTCTATTTCTATATTATTTTCGGTAATGGTAATCTATTTTCATTTTATTAAATTTTTGTAATGTGCACTAAATATTTTAAAGCACACCTAAGTAGTCTACGGATTTCATGAACATGTGTGTGGGTGTGTATACATCAGAGATTTTTTCCCTCCATATCAATTAATAATCAATACATAATTAAAAGTTGTAAACTGTCAAATGTTTTCGCCATTATGTTTTACCTTCGGATATTATAAATCTCCTAACTTAAGTTCTAAAAAAAGGCCTTTATAACTTTTTTTTAAGATAATTCGAATAACGATTATTGGAAGAGTAGAAGCAACAAAAATCGGTGTAACATTCATAAATTTGCAAGAGTAGTTTCGAAGGTTTAAATGCAGAACTGAAAATGAATCGTCTGCATTTGCACTTCTAGCTGCTGAAGAAAAACATTCTGTATTCAAACTTTCGAAACTAGTCCGGGAAATATATAAGTATTATGCTGATTCTTGTTGCTTTAACTCCTCCAATAATCATTATAGAGTTTTTTCAGAAGAGTTTTTAACCTCAGTTCCATGAAATAAATCGCATGAATTTTTATTTCGCAATATTAGAGATATCATTTCAGTATTGCAGTGAGCATGAATAGATCACCGTTGTACGCGCAGCTGAGTCTCCGCCCTACATTAATTTAAGGTGTAAGTATAAGAGCAACGTTTTTCCCCCTTACCATTTGACATTGCTGTTTGAACAGCTCGTTTTAATTTATTTTATATCCAGAATTTCTGAAAATTAGTTCTTACGTTATTAATCCAGTCTTAACGTTTAGCTTAAAATTTCGTGTACTATACAGGAATTTGAAAACGGAACTCAATTAGTAACTTCAGACTAGTTTGAAACTTTCAGATAATATTTACTTAATACTAATAGTAGCGGGGGGGGCGGAATTTTACGAATTTCCGTATAATCGCTCCACGAATTCTTTCTCCCACCTCTTCAATAAAATTATTTTATTTATCACTCATGCACTGGAACAAGAACTCACTCAATTGTCATCGTTAAAAATAATTACTTGTGAATGGAGAAAAAGCTGAAGGTTCACTTCTGTATAAAAAAATAACAGTGAAAGTCTTCACGGTTTTTTTAGCTTTTAGAGTTCACATAAATGAAATTTAAAAAAGTTGTAAAATATCAAGTATTCCCCATGATTTCTTTTCAAGCGATCATTGTTTATATTTATTTCATAGAGTTTTAAATTAATGAGAACTTTAGTGTGACAGTTTGATAGGTCTATAATTGCATGATAAAACTCAAAATTTCTACGCACCTCATTTATAAAATAATGTTATGTATTAATTGTTATTATTTTCAAGCTTTAAGTGCTCTTATTCAGTTTTGATCAGTAATTAAAGTTATTAATTTTTACTTTAGTTTGTTTAAAGTTCGTTGTAAGTTTAAACTGTAACTTTTGTAAACTTTAAATTTAGGTTTGGTTGCTTTAAGTTTTCTTAATCTGAAGTTATTTAATTTGAGTTTAAGGACTTAAATTTTACTTGGTTTTGTACTTGTTTGTTTCTGACCCTTAAGGTTGTTTAACTTTTAATTTTTTTAAAGTTTTGTTTCTGTACTTTTGGTGTGTTAATTTTATTAAGGTAACTTAAATTTTTACCCCTCTTTCTATTAAAGTTTCTCGATTTCATTTCTGACTGGTGGTAAGGTCAATCAATTGTAAAAGCAACTCAATCTTGAAAATGAATACGTATACTTATTTCTTCTGAAGAAACAACGGGTAATCTTTGGATTATGGTAACTTCGCGATTTTTTTGGCTAAAATTTGGCGACCAACCCTGCTACAGCAACCTGCTAGTTTTGTTTTGGACGCCATTTTGTTTTCACGAAGTAAAGGCATGTTTTTTTTATACTCAACATTTTTGATGCGAAATTGGGAGAAAGTGCAGAATCGCCCACTGCTTGCCGCGTTTTTAAGATTTGCACATACACGGTATCCATGTGCACGTCGACCTATTTTCACTTAAAAAAAAAATCCCAGAATCGCACAAAAATGGCATTGCGCACACTCTTGACTTTATCCATGTACACTGCTAAAATCCTAGCTAGTAACCTTTATCGCCTTACCAAAATGTCGCCAAACTACCTGTTACCATATTCCAAAGATTAGCCGAAACAACTTATAATGTGTGCATTTCAGTAACTGAATTGTTAAATAATGGTTTTAATTTTTACACTACTAAATTTGTTTATTGTGTTGAAAACTATTCACTGGTTTTGTAATGTTTTCCATCCAAAAATGTCGGCTTGAAATTCGTTTCTCAGAATTCCTTATCTGGAGATTGCTGGGCCCCTAATCCTTTTGCTAAGTACTTAGTTAAGTTTTAGTTTTTTTTTTTTCGGGGGGGGGCGGCACCAAAGAGGAAGTTAGTTTAACAGTTTAAAAGTTAAATTGTCAATATAATTTTAATAATATGTATATTTTTTCACGTAACAATAAATCACAGAAGTCAAGTTTTTTAACATGCGAGAAATAGGAAATATATTTGAATGTCAGGAAGTAGAAACCTTTCTAACTGAATATGTTTATTTAATGCAAAATTAAGAAGCACGCATTGTTTCGTTTGAAATTCTTTAAAAGTGTCTAACTAGTCACTTAACATCCTAGTCATTAGTCATCACAATAAATATAAAATGTTATTTAGTTCCTTTCATTTCGACATATGTAGGACATGTATCATGAACGTGAATAGCATATAATCAGACTTCATTAATATAAAATATTTTGTTTTGCTTGTTATATATATTTCTGAGGTTTCATTTTTCAAGAAAAAAAACTGATATTATAAGTAGATGCAAAAATCGTTTTCAAATCACAACTTATAAGTGATGATAATTTTTCCATTTTGCAAAAGTATTTAAATGTGCAATGTTTTTAGAGTAACCTTATGCATTCTTATAGTTAATTATATGCTTTTAAAATTAAGATGTAAACGTGAGGTTTACATTTTATTTAAAATAACCGAGTATGAAGGAAAGTACTGCTCTTAAAATATTAGAATCAATTACACATAAGAAATTAACACAAAAATCAAGTATTGTCTTCTTAATTATTACGACTTTTAGCACTTCCAGTATCGGTAATTTTAAATCATTTATTATTTGAATTACTTAGCATTGCGTTCCGTTAACATATAATTTCATAGCCCACCAGCGGCCGAGCGGTAAAGTCGTTGAACACTGGTAGTTCGGTTCGATGTTCGAATCCCGCGAACGGGCTGGCTGCATGGGCGTTTTCGTGGTTTTCCCCATGTGTAACGTGTATACGAGCCACTTTCCCTTAGAAAGTCCTAAACGAAGGCATTCCTTCCCTTAGGCAGATAGCCCTCAAGGCTTTGCCATAATCACACACATACACGTATATATTTTCATATCAGTTGTTATAATTATATAAAAACGAGAGATGAAATTAGCTAAATCAACCCATAAAATGCTAGCAAGTAATAAAATACAAAGTAAAATACATTTTTAGATACTTTCATTTCTTAATTATTTAGTGATTAATAAGTCAAAAAAAGAAAAGAACAAAAATTATGGAGCATTATTTAATTGTTAATTCAAAGTGCCAATATTTATGTTTTGATTCATTCAATATATGAACTCAGTTTGCTATTGCAAAGACAAAATTATTAATTATAAACATCCAATTTCTAAATCACAAAATGAATTTTATAATTTTGGAGGGAAAAAAAAACTTTATTAGAATTTTCTAAAACAAAAGTTTTCATTTATCCAAGCATTTTATGCAATCGATACTTCATAGATCATGAGAGTTTAACTTATATTGATTTTACATATTTATTTCATGGACACTTCAGAGATTATAGCTATTTTATTTTCATTAATTGCACACATACCATCTAATGTTATGAATATTTTAGAGATTATGTCTGTTTCAATTCACTAATTTCATATACTTGCAGAATTGAATAGTATTATTATATGCGATTTCTTTTAGCTTTATTACAAACAGTGGTTAGAAATTTTATATAAAATGTATGCATAACTTCGAATTTGAAAGCTGGAAATTTTTAGAATTCTTGAAATTCAATTTTAATGCAAATGCTATTTTACACGGTTGTTACTTTTTTAATTTGCATTATACTTTAATATATTAAGATTTGTTTTTGTCTTTACGTTGAATAATTGAAATTAAAAGTGGAAGTACTTTGAAAATTTTTAAATGTCTGAATATTTTATGCATGAAATATGTAACTTCGAAAGAAATATACTTTGCAGATTGCCTTTGCAAAATCAACATTTCAGGCAGCTTACTTAATGTAATATTATGTCGGTTACTCCTTTTAACCATAACATATAATCTCAGTAGCATAACATACCATTTAAAAAAAAACCTTGCAGTGAAAAAATAATTTTATTTTAAATGTTTTTAAAGAAGATATATTAAGGATATTATTAGTTAAAATATAACTTTTCCTTGTTTTCATTCAAAAGAATATTAATAATACTGACTGGATAATCACATGAAAAATTAAATCAATTCTAAATCTGTAAAAGTGAAAAATTAAAGTGTAACTGGAAAGCGATCTCTCGCATCAATTTCTAAAACTTTGTTAAACACAAGCTTCCTTCTAATATCGTTTTCATAACTAAGACATTCTACTTAAGGCATATGCATGTATCATTTGTAAATTTACCGTCTAGAGAAACAAGTCTCCGTTTAAGCTTTAACGTTACTATTTAGCAAGTATCTTTTAAACTATGAGCTATCATATTCCGTAGATCTAATATTAATTCACATTAACAAGCTAATTGATTTACGTAGCATAATTAACGAGAATCAATTTGAACGGCGGCTACCATTGCCGTTCGATATCCCAATTCAGGCTTACGATCTCGTCCTAATACCATATCTTTAACTTCATCGGATGTCACCACCACGCCATGTTCAGCAACAAGTTTATCCTGCATTGCTTTAATGTCTTTAAGATCCACTCCCCTGCAGGCATCTTCGATGAGAATGGTTCGGTACCCGTGCTCCAGAGCATGCAAGGCAGTATAACCAACGCAATAGTCAGTTGCTAAGCCACTGACGAAGACGTCTGTCACACTTCTAGTCTTAAGTTCTTCGGAAAGATTGGTCTGGGAAAGCTTCTGATTATCCCAAAATGCCGAATAACTGTCAATATCCGAACAAGTTCCTTTATAAATAAAAATGGCATTTTCAGCTATTTTCAGTTCAGAATGAAGCTCCGATCCCCACGACTTCTGGACGCAGTGTCTAGGCCAGAGCTTTTGTTCAATTTCTGGAGGACCTTCAAAAACTACGGTGTCAAAAATTTTTGCCTCTTCTTTAGATACCAAACTACTTTCGTGAAAATTTCGAAGATGAATATTGTCAATGAAGGAAACGTGATCTTCCGGATGCCAGTCAAAGGTGTAAAAAATGTAATTAAAAGGTACAGTCTGAAGTAAATGATTTATGACAGGAACAACTTCTTTACCTTCTTGACCAGCAGGGCAGTTTCGTATAGCTAAAGAGCCATCGATGAAATCGTTTTGTACATCTATAACTATCAAAGCACTCGTCGGTCGTATGATAGGTAGGATAAAATTGGGCCACACTACGCTCAGTTCATCTTCATTAATCTTTCCATCTCGGTCCATATCAAAAGCATAAAATATATCTGCACACATACGCAACGGCAGGTCGTAAGGCTCGCCTTTACTGTTGACAAACAGTTCATCAGTCAAAGCACACAGTTCACGCAAGTTGAGAGCTCCGTCATGATCTTGATCGAATCGCTCTAAACATTCGGTAATTCGCTCTTTGTCATCAGTCTCTAAGTCACAGTTTAAGAGTTCTCCGAAGAAGTTTGGTGTAGACATTATCGAAACAAATCTGCAATAATGTCGATCGAAAGGTTCGATCGTCTCATTCGAAGTCGTTTCCAAGGCAACCAGCTTGTCTCAGACAACGCTTTAGGTCGCAGCGAACTAAATGCTTGAGATCATCGACACAGACGCCTGGTTTAAAATAGATCGTGTTCTTTCGACACTCTCCCATAATTTCGCCGCCGGCAGGAAAGAGATTTTATTTTCATCCGTTCCCCCCTTTTTCTGTTTTCCTTTAATTAGTCATCTAGATCTTGTTATTTACGCATTCAAGCAACCGGATGCAAATCATGGCACGACTTCAGATTAAGTTTTACTAAGGAAACAAGAATGACTCATAACTGATTACTAGAACGAAACGATGGAAAGTTATTTAAATAAATTAATGACAAAAAGTCCTCTTTAACAAAATAATGTGAATTTTATTAAAGGAAAAGCTACAAACAATACTTTTTGCGACTAAGCAATTAGTTTATTATTTTTTAAACAAGAGTAGAAATAATTTCTTAACGCTTTCCAACGTACAATTTCTTGCAAACTTCTGCATTTCGTCTTGGAATAAGTGTAGAATCGTGTAAATCATTGTATCTGAATTACACATCATTGTATCTGAATCATGTAAATCATTGTATCTGAATCATGTCAATCATTGTATCTGAATTACACATCATTGTATCTGAATCATGTAAATCATTGTATCTGAATCATGTAAATCATTGTATCTGAATTACACAGTTTGTTCGTTTTCTTTCTTTCTCCATCTGTTGAAAGTATTAGTAAATTTTATGCAAAATATTTAATTACAAATTACTAATATATTATTACGAATTAAATTTTGACTACGAATGCTTTTTTTTTTTTTTTTTTTATGAGATTCATCGATACTTAACGGCAGTCATGCATAACTTGCCGGTGTTTCTATTCTAATCAAAGCGCATCAGGAAAAAGTCCATTCTAAATTATCCGAATATGCATGAACTAAACTGGCAGTTTATACTAAACATTTCCGATTTTTTTATAGAATAGAACAAAATAGTCTCTAGAGCAAATTAAATTTAAGAGATAAGTATCCGAGCATAACGTTCTATTTTGGCTGTAATTGCTTGAAACTGAATAACATACACGTCGCTTATAATGGATGCAGAAGAATTAATTCCTAAAACCATTTTTAGAAGTAATGTTTATGATATGTGTAATATTGTAGAGGAAACGCTTCAAAATAACATTTCTATTTCTTGTTTAATCGTATATTAAAAAAATGTAAAAGAAAATTGTTTTGATAGCTTTCACAAATCCTAGCCGCCCAAGCGAAATAGTGGCTAGCGACACTGACTGCCGTACCGATGGGCCCGGGTTCAAATCCCGAAGAAGGCATGGATGTTTGTAAATGTTTAGTGTATGTGCGGTATGGAAGCACCCTAAATATGCGGAGAGCCGAAAGTCTTCTCGGAAGGTTGATGGTAGGGGAGGTAGACTTTCGAACCCGTCCTACGGGGTGCTCTACATCAAAACTGGGAATGGAACTGAGCAAAGTCGTACTGTTACCGGTATGGTGCTCAAGACTCGGTGCCGGCCATAGGTGCAATCTTGCACTGTTTGCGACGACAAATTTCGCGGCCTTGTGCGCTGATTTTACTGTCAGACAAGTGAGATAAGTCACGACAACAACAAGGACAACAACACGACAACTTTTTTGAAGTAGGAGACGTGATAAATGAGCAATGCCTTCGTCGGGACTCGAACCTGGACCTCTCGTGTTACTGCTATGCCACGAAGACATGCAGAAAGAAGGGAAAAAATGCCGTATATACTCGCAACCCAATCCCCATCTCCCGGTGGTGAAGAATTACCATCCACCACCTTTTAGTTCGGGCGCCACTGTAGAGAAATTTAGAAATTTTTTATGTCAGGAAGCTAAAGAAATGTGCTATGCCCCCGCCGGGACTCGAACCTGGACCTCTGGAGTTCGCGCCGAGGGTGCTACCGTTACACCAAGAAGGCATGCAGAAAGGAGGCAGAAAATGCCTTATAAGCCTTATTATGATAAAAGAATATTTCTGAAAAACCAATATTATTTAGATACTTAAAATTTTATTACTTATTGGTGAAAGCAGCTTTTTTTAACATGAAATAGATCGATTTTTGAAAATATGTCCTTGTCGCATAGCTTCGATATTTGAAAATATTGCATATATTGTAATTTCATAGCGTTGTAAAATGTGCATTCCGCAAGCCAGTATTACATTGGTTTCATAAATAGCGTAAAGTCTTGGTACTTCCTAGGAATGTTTGGACTTACAAAGAGTTTTCTAATTACGTATGCAAATGTATGGAATTGGCCACACATTACAATTGAGTAGCCGCTCAACCGGTATAGTGAATAGCGTTGCTGACTGGCGTGTCGAAGGGCCTGGGTTCGAATCCCGGAGAAGGCACGGATGTTTGTAAATGTTGTGTGAGGCATGGCGGCCCTTTAAATATGCGGTGAACCGAAAGTCTCCTCGTGTGGTTTGGTGGAAGGGGAGAGGGGTGGGGGACCCTTGGACCCGTCCCTCCTCAGGTGCTTTCCATCAAAATTGGGGGGGGCGGAGCTGAGCTAAATCGCACTCTCACCTGAATGGTGCTCTGCTCAAGGCTGTTGCCCCCTTGCCACGAGGGATTTCGTGGGCTTGGACTGACTATACGTTAGACAAGTGAGCATATGCAACAACAACACAGCTGAGTTCGCGGGAATAAAAATTAGAAGAAAACAACATAAGACTTCTAAAATCATTTCTTTTGATGCTTCACATGTTATAATTCTTGCACAGAGATTTTTGGCTACATACGTAGAAGTCAATTATTAGATTTCTTTTTGATTTTTTTTTTTTTTTTTTTTTTTTTTTTTTTTTTTATGTTTTACTGAATTTATTCAGTTTTTTCAGAATAGTGCACTTAAAGATGAAGCTTCATCTTAGAGAATAGAATGTTGTCTGCAAATGCTGTAATAAACTGCAACTCGCACATTAATATCTGAGTAAGTCCAGTAGGATCAGCAGCCCACTCGTGACCGAGATCAGAAGAGCACTAAACACTTAGTCTGACCCGGCGTCAAAATCCCTGAAAAAGGGTAGGCTTATAGGATGTTTTTGTGCTTTTGATCACATGCAAGGCGAATACGAGTAAGTGCTTCTTAAAACGTCCTCTAAGGAAAATAATCTGTCGATTTCGGTCGACAGCTTTGCCGTATCTACTTACAAACGAACAAAAACACATTGAGATTGACAGTCTCTACAAAAGTTAAATAGATGGAGTTATTTTGCTTATTAACAAATGTTCCGCAAAAAATTGTGTGTTTATATAATTTCTGGTCAACCATATGCCGAATTGAGGAATCTATTTAATTGAAGTAATGAGGTCAAACTCAACTTATTTTGATACTACAATCCTACGTACGTGAAATAACTATCATTCTGTATTTCAAGAACATTTTATCGTGATTCAGCCATTGTTTATGTATCAATTTATCGAATGAAGCCATAAATCCTTAAACAAATCTTGAATCATCTAAGTAAAAAGAATCCATTCTTGAAGACAACTGGCATGATACCTTCTATTTCCGGTTCCTTCCTTTGAAAATCTAGGTTACATACTCATACTCCAGTCTAGAATTCTGATTAACTTTTCTAAGTTTAAAAAGCATAACCAGACAGCTTGCTGTTTCAATTTCCGATATGAAGTGATTTTGATAGACTGATCTTTGGGAATGATTTAATCTTTCTACTTACTGTTAGTTTCTGGGCTACATGAGTTCATTCTTAAACTGTAAATAATAGCAAAGTCTAGAAACTGTAAACTATTCGTAATCAAATCACGTATGACAACATCAAGAACAACAATGCGTACGTCATTATCTTTTGTATAAAGCTTACCGGTGAAATTTCTTCCAACAGTTGACTTAGTTTGTTGTTGCCCAAATTTCTTCATTCAGTTTATATAAAAGAACTATTTCGAAAATCCTCTTTAACATCTCTATTTAGCGTATTTAAATTTTTAGACATTGCTTAATTTAATGTTTATTTAGTTGAATTTCTAGCAAATGAGTTTTATGACATTATAAGGTATTTTCTCTCACCTTTCCGGATGCCTTCGTGATGTAATTTGGAAGCATACTAGACGTGCATTCGAGAGGTCCAGAGTTCGAGTCTTGGCAAGGACTCTGCACATTTTTCACTCCTGCTTCATAATAACCTAATGACTCTTCAACGTTTTCTGTGCTGGTATTCTTTACGCGTGTACGAGAAGTAGCTATGTTCCTTATTAGGATCTAGCAGAGTTTGTTACCAAAGAGAGTACGATCCTACAATGAAAACTAAATATTATTGCACTGGGAAGCTTTCATTTTTGAGTGCTTATTTTGCTTTTGTAGTTGCTTTTAAAGTATGCGTGCTTTTGTAGTTGCTTTTAAAGTATGCGTGCTTTTGTAGTTGCTTTTAAAGTATGCGTGCTTTTGTAGTTAAAAATTGCTTTTTTAGTTAAAAACATGTTTCTTGCTTTCATTTCACAAAGCAGCAAAAATTAAAATCTTTTTATCTCTTCAAGATGATTTTTTTTTTTTTTTTTTCAAATCTAGGAAAATGAGAGTTTCTGTTTCAGCTTCAGAAAATGCTGATAAAAAAGAAATAACTCAACCAGCACAAATAATTCTTGCAGAAATTCTTCAATCTTCATTATGCATTTTTCTTATAGTCTACCCATGAGTTTTTAAACGGCGGGACCTGCAGCAGGGAGTCTCCAAAATTTTAGCAGTTTTGATATTTCTTTAACTTTCTATAATAATTTTACAATTATTTTTACACAATGCATATGAAAATAGATAAATATAAGACAATACAGACAAAGAAAGAAACGAAAACGTTTCGACGCCTTTTTTTTATAATATAAACGTCGATTTTACTTGCTTTGCACGTAACGCTGTCATTTCGTCCGTTACTTATTTAACGTTTTCGCATTGTTCTATGTTTTATAATTCGAAATTAATGACCTTAAACTGCAATAGTATATTACAACCATATGAAGCACAAAATACTTTATGAAACACAAAATAGGTCACTCACAAGTAGGGTAAGGGGCTCCTGTCTGTTTACTTCAGCTAAATGGTAATAGATGACCCCTACATTTCTATGTAACATAAGATCACCAACTACCTGATAAGTGAACACATATAATAAATAGCCAGCATTGAGTTGGTAAAGTATCAACAATGTAATGTATCATAGAATGTAATTCATGTAAATTAATTATTGTAAAAACACATGTACTTGCATACAATGAACTGACAAATATAAGTTGGCAATATATATGTATGCAGATAAATCTGTGTGGCATATGTATGCAGATATATCTAAAAGTACGTAGTTCGCATAAGTATGCAGATGAAGCTCTTTTTTTTTCTTTCGTTTACAGATATATTTGTCTTTTTTATTACTTTATATTCTTCTCAAATTTTGACAGCTGTTTGAAAAAAAAAATATGTAAACAAGTCATGATTGTAGGCATGATCTTATACTCTAGAAATAATTTCTTCTAGCCACCACAATTTATAATGTCATGATCAATTTTTACATGCAAATAACAATGTACTACTAGACAATAATATAATTTCTGAAAATCAATTAACATAAAAACGTACGTTAAAACAAATAATGAATCGTCAAAATTGAGCTGTTAAAGTTTCAGCACAACTTTACAACAGTACTTATATGTAAGCTTTGTAAACAATTTTATAGTTCTTAATTCTGATAGTAAACAGATAATGTTTACAAAAATGATTTGTAACGTGGGAACAACATGCATGTTTCTAATGCAATATATAATGTCCTGAAATATGTTGCCTGTACCCACTACAATAGATTAGATATCATCTTGAAATATGCACCTGCACAACTATGTATATCGCAATGTATATCATGTAATTTAATCTCTTACTTAAGCTAATTTAACGCTGAAAGGTTAGGAGTACCGTTGATTCCGCCGCCGGTGGCAGTACTTGTTGTAGTGCTCACTGGAGTCACAATTTCCATCACGACTCGAGGAATGTTGTTAGTTTTCTAGTTAGTGTGTGGGGCTAATACCTTCTTACTTAGGGTAAATATTAGGTGGCCCCCTCACTTCTACATAACATAATAGTATATTACAGCACAAGTGAAAAAATGGACAGTTTCATTCACGCGTGTGTCGGATTTGCGCAATGCTTATGGGGGGTCCCACAAAATTTTGTAAATATTATGGGGTCCTGGTGATCTTAGTGAAAAATCTTAGTGATAAAAAGGTGTCGAGACTGAAAAATGTTTTAAGTAGCCCTGGAGCAGACATCAGCGAGTAAGATCGCTGAACACTGATAGTTTGACAAGGTTGTTACATTTTATCGCTAGACTGCTGTAGCCGCTTCTCTTGCTTCCATCAAAGATGTGGAAATTCTTTAAAATAATAGAACTTTGATCGCCTTTAGCTCCATTTCGTTTGCATTTGTATCAAAAATATGATGCCAGCACGAAAATAATAGCTTAACTGGTTATGACTGCAAGTGTATCACGTTTCAACATCTGAATCCTTCAATATAAATATATTTATAATATTGGATTTTAAATAATTGTATTCATTGTATGTTTTAAAACATTTCTAAATCTAGCTACTAGTTATTAAGATAAGATCCTGAATAAGTTTTTGTTTATGAAATATCAAAAAAAAAAAAGAAAGAAATTAAGTCATTTTGTATTTGGAAAATACGTGACATTTTCCGATTTTTGAGTTTAAAAAGCTTTATTTAATCATTTTTACTGTATAAAACTTATCTTGTGCATATATATTGTCTCTCATACACGCTTGTTTGGAAGACAGAATTATGCTCGCGTGACAAAATCTATCTTTCACCTCGAGAATATTGGAAGCTTTCCAAAATGGGAAAAGAACTGCAATCTGCAGAAGCGGCAATAACAAAAACGAATATGACAAAGCAATTTTGTGCATTAGATAACTTCTTGTGTCTTGGCTAAGAATATTACAGCTGACAGAAAAAAAAAATCTTTTCTACGTTTGATAAAGTCATATGAAGCATTATGAAAGCAATTTTTGGTGACTAAAGTTTAAATTAAATTCACTACAACTAACTGCATGACGGAAAATCAGACTCATAATATATGCCTCAATTAGGTAGTACGTCTTTTGGCCTGGATAAATGTGTTTCGATATCTAGGGCTAAAAATAATTCGGAGGTATAGTAGACATATTATAATTACAAAAAAGGTCTGTTCTGTGTAAAACCAGAAAAAAACGTGTAGGCAAACTAAAAACATTTGTTTAATATATCACGTTGTAATGATATTCTTAAAATAGCTCCAAAGTTAGATTAATATTTATAGACTAAGTAACCAAAGTAAGTGCAAAGATTTGAATGCTACATTCGTGACGCGGATGAAGAATGATATTCGCAGATGACCATTCTGTCTTTTTTACATGGAGGATTTTTGCTTCGAGAAGCATTAATATTTTTCCAATTTTTTTAAACTAATGCATTTCACTTGCATGTTATTATCTTTGCCATCTTCGGATATATCACTCATCCAAAAATATATTTTCCTTTGATATTCCATTTCTTCTCTGAGTGGTTTCCTACAAGAGTAAATTAATGGTCATTTAACATAGTTAACATATTTAACAAACGTGATAAAAGTTAGACATACTTTTATAAAGTTAGAACTAAGCTTGAGTAAACCTAATTACTTTTTAATGTAGACTTTTTCACAGCAATATAAATATATACAAAGAGAGAGAGATTTAGCAATTGAATCCTGCAAAATGTTTTTCTTTAACTTTCTGCTGAGGTAAGAAAGACCGACTCATTTCAAAAGCATCTGAAAGCTTTTATAAAAGTAAAAATCACGTTATACATTTTATATTATTGCCTATTACACATTTCAACTTTTTTCTCTGTTCGTTCTTTCCAGCAAGAAAACTTCAGAGTAAATACGAAATACATAAGTACAAAGTAAATTAGGAATATTTAAAAATGCAGAGTAAAACGAAAAAAGAAAGGAAAGGAAAAGAAAAAAGAAAGTTAAAAACGGAAAATGAACGGAGAGGAAAGAAAGTTTGCAGTTCAACAGTCGATGATTATTATAACGACCCTCTCGTCGCAAATAAAAGGAGGTTATAACCAGCTTCCACTCTAATAAATCGCTCAAGCAAATCCGCGACGCTCATAGCAAATGCTATTAATGAGATTGCTATGCAAAGGAAAGATGCGTGTGTATTCATATAATGCAGGCATAATATTAAATAGAAAAGAGGATATTTATACACCGGAAGGAAAAGGTAAAATTTAAAAAAAAAAGTAGCACCTAAAAATATGAGAGTTTTAAACTTGTTTATTAACTTCTAATTTGCTTTGCCTGTATTTTAAGTATTTCAATTTTTAGAAATACCGCATGAAAATTTTATATGCAGCTTTATAAACTTCATTAGTAGCATGAAAATAGCAACGAATGCAATTGCCGTTACTTGTGCACGTGATGTTTAAATAGATCAATCTCACTGAGAGGCTATTGAATACCAGAATATTTTATGAAGTAGTTCATTCTGTGTTGTCTGTTGATGAGATTAGATGACATTTTAATTGCGATGCCAATGTTCCTCTTTAAAGCTATCTTATTAAACTGTCTGTCCAGTAGTCAATAAAGTACTTGGCTCATTCTTGTAATAACATTTACAGCTGCATCGAAATACAAATGACAGTTAATTTTAGTTATGTTAAGAAGCTTTCAATGAAATTCCTACGAAAATTTTATAGATATATGCAGGTAGCTGGTTAGTGATTAAAGAAGAGCGTAATATAATTAGAAGTTGACACATTACAGTTTTAATTTTACGATTAAGCTTTTCAAAAAAGTATATCCCTAAAGAAAATATATTACTTACAACCAATTGAGTTGCTGTACCCCCTGTTATTTGACTATCAGCATTTGTACTCAATTGGTGAAGCATTTTTTTTTTTTTTTTTTTTTTTTTTTTTGTCCCTAGGCCCAGCCAAAAATCTCTGTGAAAAATTAACATTTGTAGCGGAATTTATAAAGTTACTTCGGAAGATAGGTATTTGTGATCTGTGGTTATTAAAGAGATCCTGTCAAGACTTTGACTTCGCTGAATGAGGATTTTAGCAATGTTTTATGCACTGTGATTCTGAGATAACAGAGAATATTTATTATAGAAGTTACTGGTAACGTGGATATAAGAAGGTATTCAGATGCACTTTTATAAACAATATGAACTGGGTATATTAATGTACATCATATATGCTGTTCACATATTTGCGGAGTTCCTGGTTCCTGTGTAATATTTGCTTGCCACATTCATAGTAGTCACTTGTGTTATTTACTTATTTACAGTTCCCTTACAATTCACTTACATATAGTCTGCTTGATAACTGAAGGTGACGTTAAGAAATACAAATCAGTATGTAGAGTTGAAAATTTATGTGTTCATTGAAAAATATTGTGCGGTTCACTTATATACAGAGTGCCATTTTATATATGCTTGGCATTTTGTACTGGTTGCTATGCAAAGGTACTGGTATGGTTACTGGTACAAAACACTTGAGGATGGGAATAAAAAATATTAAGTTCTTAATAACACCACTGAGATGCTAGATCTGTGCAGAGAGCTCTTTAAAAAAAATTCTAGATTACTTTTAGATTTTCTCAGTTCATTGCCAGATATTCTATGAGAGTTTTAAATTTGTTTCATAGTAGGAGTTCACTCTTTTGGAGTAAGTATAGTTTTTCTTCTGGAGTTGTTTAGCCACACCTGGGTATTTTCAGCTGTATACGACCGGAAATGTAGGTGTTTGGTGATTTTGCACTCGACCATGTAGTGATCGATTGTACCTGTTGAGCCGCATGTGCATCAATCTGTATGATGCAACTCGAAGGGAAACAGTCTGCAAGGGGGACATGCGCCGTCAGGAAATATGCCATTGCTTTGCCTGTATTAGTTAATTCTCTTGAGGGCACCGGGAGGAAGTTAAATGTTCTCCTGCCAGTTCGTTTTTCACAGGGACATAAGTTTCCGTTCCAGTCAGGATTAAATGGGAGGATTCCTAGAAAAAACAGGTCCGCTGGAGGCGAAGTCCCGCCTAGCTACGGGAACCATGTACCGACTACGCGAGATTTTTTGAAACCTCGCCGAAAATGTTTCGGCTGGAGCTCTGTCCCGCGTAGAGATCAACCACGCAGACGAAAGTTCTGCTTCTGAAGGATCACGTGATCACAATCTGAGCGATAATCCATTATTGTTTGGCGTTCAAGTCTTTGTAGTAAGTGAAAATGGTAATCTAGCAACGTAGGAAATGTGCAGGTTCTGAGAATTGTCCCTTTGGGCGTCCAGTCCCTCGTAGCGGAAACATAATGTGATTGGGACTTTACAATCCTATTTTCCAGAGAACCTCCATCCCAAGCTTCACTGGGCACGCGCCATGTGGACACAATAAGCAATGAAGCAGCTGGCAAGAGATACGGCAAACGGACAACTTGCCCCAACCACTTCTCTGCCAATTCCATTATCACATCTTAAACCAGTGTTATTGCCACTGGTCTCAGAAAAGTCCCGTCTAGCAGGGACCGTCGCTAGATGTGATAACCTCTTAAGTATTAAATTTCCAATGAATGAATTGAATTTCCAAAAATTTTAAATGAAGTTTTTTTTCCTTTTCTCCTTTTTTGGATTCCTCACACTGTTTTCAGAATTTCAGTGACTTTCAAATACCGTACTTTTAACTACTCCTCATTTGTTGTCACTGATGGGGGTTTAAATTAAAAAATTTAATCCTTCATTACAACCAGACACATTAATTTCTAAATCAAACAAAAATTAAGTTTTCTGTCTCATCTTAACTACTATATCAGGGGTTCTCAACCGCTGGTACGCGTACCACTGATGGTACGCAAGAGAAAAATAGGTGGTACGCAAAGCTGCAAAGTATTTTTAACTGTTAAATTCAAAAATTAAAACCCCAACATCCTGACTGAGTTTTTTCTCCAACACTCTTAAATTTATGCGATCTGAGTTTGTTCAAGAGTGGTGGTGGTAGTAGTACTTTGTAGTGGTGGTACTAAAGCTTTTCAATTTTTGTTTAGATGGTACGCGTTTGTCAAAAGGTTGAGAACCGCTGTGACTATATTCTAAATGACTATGGTGCTAATAAAGGCAAAGAAAAATATCAAATTTGGTTTATACGGAATTATTATAAAATAAGGTAATCGTTTATCATTAGATAAGTCAGATGAGTATTAAATACAAATATCCACGATTATTTGGACATATTAAGCTTAGACCACTTTAGTCACATGCGTATGCTTTAACCCATTTATAAGAACTGAGAGTGGTTATTTAAATTACATTCTATTTGATCTTTATTATTAAAATTTATAGGTTAAACTTAAGGATAGGCTGAAATTCGCTGAAAATTAGAAATTAGAGAATTGGAAATTAGAATTATTTAATTAGATAAACAGTTAATTATGCTCTTTTTTACCGCATAAAACTACAAAAGCAAAACTTCTCAGCACTTAAATTATTCGATTCATTTACGTTTCAAAGAATTTATAATATAAATTCAAAATTAAAAGGTTACTTACTCAGAAAAGGGGCAAAACCAAAAAGGCTGGTTTTTGCCAAAGTTCTCACCGTCTTCCATTTCGTGTGGCAGATGTTGTTTCGCAGTTTCAGGTAAAAATATAGTCAGAACCCCAGAAGCCACTGCTACCATCCCAAAAACTACCAGTGGCAATAGTGCTTCTTTTTCTGACTAAAATAGTTAAAAGGTTTGATTATCATATTTTATTTTAAACATGTAATAGAAATACGGTCTGTTTTATTTTACGTATTTAAACGATATAAACAACAGCTTATTAGCTTTAAATTCTCAATAAATAAAATTTCAAAATTCATCATGGCCTACTAGGTATTGCAACCTGTAATGACAACTCATAACAATTTCAATGGTATCTTATTCTATGAAATCCTCAGTTGAGTTCTACAAATGAATTCCAGTTGGTTATTTCTAGTTAATGAGCTCTATGAAAAAAAAAAAAAAACATGTCCCTGATTTATGTAGTCAATAACATGGGCATTTTCTTCTGTGAAAGTAACAGACCTTTTGTAATTTCCGTGCAATAAAAATGTAAGGATTTCATGATATACACATTTAAAAAAACTTAGTTTTCGCTTACGTAACTCATCAAAAATTCTTGCCTCTTCATTCGAGTTATAAATCCGTAAAAAGAAAATGACATTAGTTCAGTTTGCTTTTAGTTATAAAATCATAATACATTCTTTTATAATTTTTGCCTTAGATTTCTTTAGTTTCATTCCCTTTGGGGGGGGGGGTAGAGACTGTGCATTTTAAGGTTTTTTGTTACGTTGAAGTGCAGTGCGTTTTAATTAACCTTACTTTTTTGTTAGGTTTAAGTGTGTTACGCTGTACTTTTTACGGTTGAAATTTTTACATCTCTTTTAAATGTTTCAGTTTAGTCTTTACACGTTTCCTCATCACGCAATCCAGCGTCTACTATTTTAATTAGCATTTTCTGATGACTGGTCTGGAATATTTTCTCATGCTGAAATGACTGAGGTCTTTCAAATTAAATTTCCTTTCTGTTTACGTATTTCTATAGATGCTTATGTTATTTTCAACTCTAAAATTGTTTTTAGTTTGTCACACTTGTTGTGGACTTTTAATTACCTATTCCATGGTCTTCCTCTTCCATATTTCCTTAGCCGCTAGGTTTCATATTCCATAAAACCCTTATTACAAGAAATTTGTTGCAGCTAAATTTTGATAGGAGCTTGTAAGGATCTTAAGTTTTACTAACGTTTATTTTATTTTAAATCTTTACTATCACTTCTTATTTTCTACTTCCGGCCAGAATTATAAGCGTGAAGGAGTTTATGCAAAGTTGTCTGGCGAACGCCAACTATTTAAGTGTGGCCTTTTTGCCAAGCAGAAGAGAGGAAGCCGTGAGTTCGAAGCAGGCCGCTTACCTTAGAAGTTACGCAGTTGCTACTTTGCCTTCCAGGCCAGAGGTTTTAATCCTCTTGATAAATTAAACGTATTGTAGTGTTCACAGTCTCTGTGCTACATACGCTTCCTGTTATTATAAGGCCAATCTTATTCTAAAGTTAAATTAGAGTTTAGTTTTATTTTGATATCTTTTAAGTTAGACCCCGAGTGGAGGGTCATTGTATTCCGAAGTACGGAAGTCATTGTATATAAAGAAAAAATAAAGGGTTTTGTATACCCTTCGTCTGTATCCTGTCTACTTACTACAATTAGTGAACATAGCTTTAGTAAGCTCTCTGTTCTAGTCAGGTCATTGTATGTTTCCGAAGAAGGTTAGAAGAAACATTGAACCTGATAGTGGCGCCCGACGAAGAATAACCATGGCCGAGTTTCAAGAAGAACCTGTGCTGCCTGCAGAAACAGCTCAGAATCCAGAAATGCCAGCTGCCGCCCTGGAAGGATTTGGGTATATTGTCCAGACCATGCGCGCTTCGATGAAACCAGAAGCAACGTTTAATGGAAACTCACAGGTAACCAGTTTTTTGGGAAAATTGGATGACCACTTCATGCTCTACCCCGTGCACGAGTTTCAAAAAGTTACCTTAGCTACCAGCGCTTTGAGGGGCCAAGCGCTTAACTGGTTCAAATGTATCGGCAGAAGTCTCTTGGGTCAAGCAGGAAGTCCCACCTATACCTACGAAAATTTCAAGACTGCCCTACTAAAAGCCTTCCCTGTTGTAAGGGATCGTGCGAAATTAGAAACAGAACTTTTCAGTATATATCAACAAAGAATCGAAAACCTCTCCAGCTTTATTTTAAGAAAAATTCACGTTTTCAAGCTCTTGTATGGAAACCGTCCGGATCCTGAAATAATTCAAGTGATTTTGCCGAGGTTACTACTACCCCAAGTGCAAGACTTTATTGAATTGAGAAATCCGACTACACTGGAAAAATTATTTGAGCTAGCAATCCAGTTTGAAAGTAGAAGAACGGCGGACGTCGAAAGAAGACGCCAATATCAACAGCGAAACCAATTTGGTACGCCAAGACTACAGCAAACTCAAGCACATGGCTACGGAGAAAAAGCGAATCAGTGGGCAAGGAAACCCGAGCATTCAAAAACAGCCGGCGAACGTCGACAGTTCAATAGCAACCCAGGAAAAAAGTCTCAAGGCCAGTGGAGAAAAGAAGGAAAGCACCGAAAGAAAAAATAATTTAAACTAAAACGGATTTCTGCTGACGAGAGGGTGCGGAAATCCGAAGGCCACGAAAACCCCTCTTCCTACAAGTTAAATACAGTAATGGTGAAAAATTTAACTCTTCCGAAGATTGAAGTCTTGGTAAATAATATCCCGGCCACCGCACTCCTGGATACCGGCGCGCAGTGTTCCTGTGTGGCAGAAGTCTTTTTTAGAAAGTATTTTCGCAAATACCGCATATATAATGCGGATAATACAACAGTATTAGCGGCGCAAGGAGAACAATGTAAGTGCGTAGGTAAAGTACCTTTGTACATCCGTATCAAGGACGAACAAGTAAAGGTGATGTTTTTTTATAGTAAAGAATTTGCAAGCACACTTAATACTAGGAATAGACTTTCTTTCAGACGCACAAGCTACACTGGATTTTAATGAAGCGTCTCTTAAGCTGACGATGAAACCAGTGCGTGTAGAAAAGGTTGAACCGCCAAGGGTAAATCTCGACCACCTGCCTAATGACGAGCAAGATAGAATCCGACAAGTGGTAAGTGAATTTGCTTCCTTATTTAGTGATATTCCAGGATTTACCCAGGTTACTAACCATAGTATTGACACCGGAGATGCATTGCCGGTTCGTCAAAAACCATACCGGTATGATAAGAATAAGGAAAAAATTATAGAATGGCATATTACCGATATGCTACGTAAAAAGATCGTAACGCCTATCTCAAGTAGTTATGCTAGTCCGGTGGTTTTATGTAAGAAAAAATAATGATTATCCTTTGGAGCATCCAAAAAGGTGGAGATTCGCTATTGATTACCGTAAATTAAATTCCATAACGAAATATCCGGTATATCCGTTACCGATTATAGAAGAAATTTTAAGGAACATAAAATCAACCAAATTTATGACAACTTTAGACTTAACGAATGGTTATTTTCAAATAGGGATTCAGGCCTGAGGACGTGCCTAAGACTGCTTTTATAACCAAGTCTGGCACTTATGCATTTTTGCGAATGCCGTTTGGCCTTTCAGGCGCCCCAGCAACATTTCAGCGATGCATGGACATTGTGTTAAGACCTGTTCTCGGAAAGTCCACATTTATCTATTTAGACGATATCATTATTACTAGTGATAATCTAGACCAACATGTACAGGATTTAAGACAGGTGTTTTCTTTATTAAATGAGGCCGGTCTAAAAGTTAATGTCGAAAAATGCAAATTTGCAGCCCCTGAATTAAAATATTTAGGTTACAAAATATCGCAAAAAGGGATCGAGACAGATGAATCAAAAATAATCGCTGTACAAAAGTATCCGACTCCAAACACGGCAAAGAAGCTCTCTTCTTTTCTAGGACTTTGTTCATATTATAGGTCCTTTATAAAAGATTTTGCGGCTATCGCTGAGCCATTGTTAAAATTAAAAAGGAAAAAGGCAAGATTCTCGTGGACGGCCGAAGCCAATAGTGCTTTCGAAAAATTAAAACAAGCATTAACGCAAGCCCCTGTGTTGAAATTTCCTGAAAAGGATGAAAATTTAGAAATTTCAGCGGATGCTTCGGATTATGCGGTAGGAGCGGTACTTTCGCAAAATCAGCAGCCCGTAGGCATTTTTTAGCCGAACTTTAAATCAAACACAAAGAAACTATTCCGCGACCGAGAGAGAGGCACTTGCAGTTCTGTTAGCAGTGCAAAAGTTCCGAGTCTATTTTTGGAAAGGCGCCAGATAACAGTGTATTCTGATCATGCGGCGGTAACTAGATTGTACTCAGGAAAAAATTTATCCCCAAGGTTAATAAGATGGGCACTCAAGCTTACAAGAATATAATCTGGTAATCAAGCATACCCCGGAAAGGAAAATATCGTAGCAGATGCCCTGTCACGAATTAAAAATAGATGAAGAAGGTAATACCGTAAAGGTGGCAATGCTGACAGCGTGTACAATAAATTCCCGAGAAACTGTAATAACCGAACTGGATAAGGATCCTGAGTTTGGAAGTATTTATGAGTATTTGAAGGATCCTGAAAATTTTAGCCACCAAGATATTGTGGCGATAAGAAATAGGGCGGCCCATTACGAACTAATAGATGGTCTATTATTTTATACAAAAACTACGAATTCCAACAACGAATTTCGACCTGTTATCCCAGCTAGTCTTAGATTAAATATCCTGCAAGAGCTCCATGACAGCCCTTTAGCTTCTCATGCTGGTATTCGAAAAACTACTCAACGCGTACGCGAGGCAGTCTACTTTCCTGAACTGCAAAAGTTAACAAGGGCGTATGTCCAGTCCTGCCCAACATGTCAAGCCGTTAATTATATTAATTTCCGCCCGGCCGGGTTTCTAAATAGTATTAAATCCGAATTTCCAAATGAAATAATCGGCATCGATTTATTGGGCCCTTTCCCAAAAAGTCAGTTAAACAAAAGTCGCTATCTCCTTGTTATAGGTTGATCATTTTAGTAAATGGACCGAAATTGTTCCCTTAAAAAACGAGCCTCCGCGAAATTAGTTACCGATTCTATTTTAAATAAATATATTTT